GGGGGGGGGGGGGGGGGGGGGGGGGAGGAGGAGGAGGGAGGCAGACGGTCGGTCAGCCTCTTCAAAGGACTGTAAACGAAGAGAGGCAAGATCAAAAACCATTTGCACAAGCCCCTGGTTGTTTGATTTTTGATGTTGTTCATCTTTGTTTACAGCCCTTCGAAGGGGCTGACCGACCGACTACCTCCTTCCCCCTCCTCCTCCCCCCTCCCCCTAGCACTGCCTCGGCACGCCGGCACGCCGGTACGCACGCAGGCGGACTATGAAATCAGCCTATCGCTCCTCCGACAAAACTCACACAGGGGTCACCAGTTGTGTTGATGCACTCATTCTTGTTATTCATGCTTGATTTTCATGTCTTATCGAGAAAGCCTCTAAAGTTTTTCTGGCACCAAAACTGTTCTCGTAGGCCACAACCGTACATTCAACGTCTAACAGTAAGTCACGACCAACATGACTCTCTCTTCTGTGCTCTCCAAGTGGTGAAATCAAGCAATTTTTTCGTTTGCTGGCTATTCTTTGCTTTACACGAGCTCGTATCATCGATTCGGTGCAGTTATACAGAATTGCCTGAAAAGAGCGGATCTCTGTATCCAATGACATCCTTTTGGTTAACATACCAAGAGACACCATTAAACATCAGTTGGCTGGAAATTGTGGTTAATTACGTGATCTCCCATATAGAAAAGTAGGAGACTGCGCACAAAGGGCTGTGGTTCATCAGCTTCAGTACTTTACATGTGATGCTTGCTGTACTGAAATTGAAATTGAGATACTGGGAAACAGTTATGCAGTCGCATCAAAGAACATTTAGCTATCCAGTGAGGAAATTGCATTGCATTGCACCGCTTGAAAAGCAAAGAAGAGAGAGTTATGCTGGTTGTGACTTTGACGACAAATGCACCATTTTGGCGTACGAGAGAGCATTGGTGCCTTGGAAGCTCTAGAGACTTTCTGCTCCCGCGAAACCCACTGACAACAAGGCAGATACTTCTGGGAATAGCGATCCGATTTTCGCCAGCAGGTCTTCTATTCGAAGGAAACACAGGATACAGTGCGTGTTAGGATCGTAGTCGATCTAGCTGATAGTTCAAAGACCAAGCCTTTTAGAAAAAAGATTCATCGAATATTGAAATCGAGACTTTGTCTGCTCCGCTATGACAGTATTTAAATTCATCCTTATAAAAACCTCATCTAGATTAACCCTTTGCGTACCGTAGTGCTTTCGCGCTGGCTGGCGCATCATCCCGGCGGTTTCGTCAGAATTGACGCACCGACGTGACTCGCGGCGTACAGCACGCGACCACACAGAGGGGTTTNCTGAAGGAATTGCGAGGTAGTGCTGTTCAAACTTCATTCAAACTCTAGAGTGATTCTGGACCAAAACGCGGTCCCGCAGAGGCGAAGAAGCGTGCTGCATCATGTGCAGCATGCGGTACGCAATGGGTTAAAAGTGGATTCGCGTGGACAAGACCACTTGTTCTATGGAACACTATCCTTGTCCTCAAAATCTGCTGGTTTTCGCTTAGTGCTTCTAGCGGCACGAGGGCGTTATTCCGCTTCGAGGGAAAGTCAAAAAGTATTCGGACGACGATTTATCTTTAGAATTCCACGATGGTTGGAGGTACTCGGCTTCTCCGTACTGGCTCCAGTGTTCGGAGGTATGCCGTCTAGACGTAGGTCAAAAAGCATGGTCACTCTCAATAATGGCTCAGTGCGATTGGAGAGCTCGAAGGGTGACGATCTTGTCAGCAAGGACCTCGTGCGTTGTTATCACTTATGAGCACGATTCAGCCATCATTTAAATCTCAAGACGTTTTTTCAGATTGATCGAGTTGGAGCTGAGCAGGAGTATGAGCGGCTTGTGGCTCGTTGGTCACAACTGGCCAACATTTTCGATCGTCTATTCTTCACTGTGACGCTAGCACTTAATGGCGGTTCAACGATGTTCCTCTTAATTGTTGCACCTAACATTGATACACCCAATTTCCATGATCGAGTATGGGAATTGTGAAAAACAACCATGTTTCTCCTTGCAGGGAGCACTTCAGAGAAGGTTCGAAAAAGCTTCAAAATTCTGGCCTGAACGAGTGAACAGTTTCAGGCGACGCTGATAGAGATGCATAAGAAGAAAGTTCGTTATTCTTATCTTAGTGTTATTCACGGTAACGAGCGACATGACAAGACTTCTATAGTGTTTACTCGTTTATAAGCAGCCTGCTGGGTTACCCGGCTTCCGCCGAGCTTCCTTCGTTCCGCCGGTTGAAATGTCTGGATAACACCGTACATGTATTGATCTTTGTATGTAAACATATACAAGGGAAGGATCCTATATTGAAGTGGCCATTTGAAATGAGACCTACACTGCCAGTCTTATTTTTTGATGCTGATTACAAATATGCGTTCAAAATCTGCCAAACGATTCTTCGAAGCTGTGGGGTAGTCTCCGGAGAGCGCTCAACAGGGGAAAGCACAAAAGGCATGGTCGCCGTCAACCCGGAAGTGGCGGCTCGGAGTGGAGGCGCGTGACGCTTCATAAGCATGAGACCAAGGATCAGGTTTAGTGAGCGACGCCGTTTTTGCACCTTACTGGGCTTTTTCCTCCAGGTTGTAGAAATCTTTTTATGTTAGTTTTATCGCCTTCAGCGACTTTTTGAATGTTCGTGGTGAATCATTTCCTGCCAAAACCGTCTTCCACTGCGCAGTGATATCGATTAGTTTTTGAAAAAGTTGGGGGTTGTGGTCAGTTTCCAAAAAAGGTAAGGGTTGCCACGTGGCAAACGTGGCAAAGTATGGTATATATGGATGGATGTAATACTGAAGAACAATGAGTATTTTCTTCCCAAAGTCGATAGTATCGCACCTTTTGAAGAACTTTGTATCCTGTGATGCCGAACGCGCCCCTAAAAGGAAGGAGTAGAAGTTGATAGATAGTTTCTCCTCTATCTTGCGGAATGACACTTACGAAGACCTCGATATTGAGTGCGAAGAAGACTGCGTGATTGAGGACGAAGAGGCCGATCCACTGTGAGAACCCGATGGCGAAGAGGAAACAGCAAGCACATCTAGAGGGTCGTTGATGTTTGGTAATGTGGAGGCGTCTGAAGAACAGGTGTAAGTTCTTCTTCCTGGAACATTTATTCGAGCCAGATAATCGGCAAATCCAGGTGGAAAGCGCTATCAGATTCTATCGCTTAAGCGCAAAGGGATGCCGTTCGCTGTCGTGCATGAGTTCCAAATTTCGCTTCATTCATTGCGAGTACCATCTATTGAGGATGAGACAAGTTGAAAGAGAAGGTTAGTTATAGCAGCGGAAAGTCTTTTTGTTTTGGTGAGAAATTATGACCTTATCGCATAGGTGAGATTCGCGAGTGTCGTTTGGGTGCTCTACGCACGCTGGCGGACGACTTGAAAGAGGAAGTTAAGTCGAGGCTAGACCGAGGACACACTGCATGACTGCGATATACGCCAAACGACTTTGAAAACCAACAGGGAGAGATCGCTAGTCGCGAATTTCAAGGCAGGACACCGATGGATCCAAGAGCTCAAAAGAAGATGCGGATTGGTCTCAAGGCTTATCACTACCTTCTGCTCTAGGAAGAGTTTTCAAGGCAATGACCTATTTCCGCAGATGCTGGAAAATTTGTGAGCAGGTATGAATAAAATCATTAGGACACTTTTCTGAATTTTTTGGATGATACGTTGTTCAACACGGTCAGTTTATAGAAATGGAAAAATGGCCATTAAATGCAGTGTGCAACGCTGACCAGAGCGGATACTTGGAAGAAATGCGCACCTTACGATCGTTAGCCTTAATAGGCTAGAAGAAGATGGAAAGGGCCGTTCAGTCGGTCTCCGCTACCACCCACTCTTTCACAATTATGCCTTGCCTTTTCGCCGATGGCCACCTAAGCAGGAAGCTGTTCGTGGTGATTCAGGTCTGTGATAAACGTTCTGCATTGCCCTTCTATTTTCAATCCAGCCTGAATAGGGACGCACAGATGAGTTTCTAAGAAGGGGAGTCTACCATGCTCGGAATTTGGAGGTTCGGGCGAGTAGAACGCACATGATGAGCAAGCAACTGATGTTGGAGTGGGTTCGATCATGCGTGGCTGCTCCGGACTCCCCGACATCAATTTTGCTGCTGGTGGACTATTGGACTTCCTTTAAAGATCATGAAGCAATCCAGTCGGCACTACCTTCACAAAACCAGTTGAAGGTGATGAACATCCCAGCTGGTACTACGAGGTTGATACAGCCGTTGGACGTCTATTTCTTCTTGCCCTCCAAAAATATGTACAAACGTATCACCTCATACGTATTAGCCCATGATCTCAAGTTTATCGTGTATACTCGCGAATCAATTCTTTGATTACTGTCCCTTGTATACTTCCAATTCTGTGCTCCTAGGTTTAACAAGTTTCTCTGATGCTCATGGCACGCTGCCGGTTTTTTGAGCACACATCCAGGGGACTTTGAGACACCTACACAGTTCTGCTTTCCATCTGGTGTAATAAGTGATTGTGAAGGAGTTGAGCGCTCTCCGAAGACGATCTCCACAACTTCGTTTAGAAAATCGTTTGTCAGATTTTGAATGCAGATTTGAAATCAGCATCAAAGAATACGTCTAGCAGTGTAGATATCATTTCAAATGGCCGCTTCAACTTGGTATCCTTCCCTTGTGAGCATTTATAGTTGTAGATTTTTACACACTTCTCCAGCATTTGTTGTTTTTTTAAACATAAAGTGAACAGCATGCACCTTTGCATTTTCCTGTTGTTTTACTTTAATTTCCAGCCATTGGCCTCGCACCTTTCTGTTCAACTTTCACAACTTGCTATCACCTTATTCGGTGCGGCCAATGCTACACAGCAACACATTGTCTTAAAAGTATGCATTGACGTCTTCCTTCTATCCAAGACGGCGGCCCTATAACTGTTAGTAAGGATATAGTAAAACACATAGGAAGCTGTGTAACCAATGGACTGTGTGAAGTCTGGCGCGGGTTATCGTTGTCGCGAATTCCTCGAGTGAGCGTTAGTGATGCCTACATTTTCCCCTGTCGCGAGGCTAAGTGATCTACGGAATCGTCCTTGCTTGAGGGACACGAGGCATTTCATTCATTCAGAGCATCCGTTGAAGAAGTCTGACTACCGCAATGGCGGCTGTTCGTGTGACGTCCTGAGAAATTCAATCAGTAACCTCCCTGGACAACGGTCATTCTGTGTCTTCTGCGCTCGCGTGTGCAGAAAAATGTTGGGATTGCCCTTCCACAGCGCATCAAAAGACGCTGATTGTATGCTCATTCTGTTTCCGTTTGGTCTGAGTCTCCACCAGAGCATACGTCAAAGCAGGAAGGGCTGTAATATCGACAAGGTGAAATGTCTTCCTTTTCTTCACTGCTCTCTCCATATTCATCAAGCGAAAACCAGGACGGCCGCGATAGTGCGCCATGCCTTCCATGACTGTTATGAAATCAGTTAAGGATAGTCTGCCTTCGGCACAACAAGCACTGGTGCTCGTTTCACCTCCATGGACAGAGCTCCCCTGAGCTTACTTGCTGTTTATTAGTGCCCTCAACCCCAAACTTGACCAACCTTTCCAGGTGCTTCTTCACGTAATACCGAAATTCGTGACAGGCAGGAGGTACTGATACGACGCGTGAGCGATGACTCTCAGTGGAGCTACCATAACAGAAGCCCTAACAATTTTTTTTGTATATATCCCAATTCATCATGTGCCGCCGCAGAAACAGCGGTAACTTTGTGGGTCAGTTTGCATGCGTCCTTCCGAAAGTCATGTAGGCACGATGAAAAAACAAGTAGTGGTATGTGGTAGTGGGCATGTGGTGCACGTGTTAGCGTGCGTGGCCCAACTGGTGAAAGAATAGTACAACATAACCATAACATTGATGAACGATCCGTGTTACCAACACAGATGGGGAAACCTTGCCCCCAAATATTTCGATGTGATGATGTCAAGGAGTGGATGGCAAGGTGCATACTTTTGATCTCGATAGAAATAATTTGAATCAATCGCGGGAAGCGAAAACATGTTGCATTTACTTGAACGCCAATGGAAGAGCCCAAATCGTGTAATGCAATCATTTTAGGGCATTTGATTTAAGGAAAATTGGCTATGTTTGGCAAAGGCACACACGCGACCCGTATGAGTGTCCTCGGATCTTGAGCGATCAGAAGCTATAGCCTTTGCTTCTTCTACACAACAGAAACAACACAGCTTAGAACTGTTCTGCAACAGCTGACAGCGCTTACTCAGTAACTGCAGTTCGGGTATTTCTGTTACACGGTAAGGATCGCATTAAATCACTGTAGTTATTCGAGATGAGATACATGCCCCAGTCGGGTGTTCTACTGCTAGTCTTAAATCTGCATTTCGGATCTGCAAACGATTTTAAAGATGGGATGTTGGAACGTTTTGCCCTTGATGTGCCATCCCGAATAGGCATGTCAAACATCAGATGATGTGCAACTATTGTAACAGAACTTTGGAGCAAGATAGTTCCTCACGACGCCGAATGAAGAGCCTATCGAGCTCATGCCATCCTCCAGATAAGAAGTATTCTCTGGAGATCTCAACATTCGCTAAAGCGAAGCATATTTGCTGTTCATGCTAAAAGGTTTCATTGATTTCGAAAGATGAAAGACAAGGGCACATTCTACCTTTGAGTAAATTGGAAATCTTGGAAGAAGTTCTTCAATAATGTGTGATATACATTCCAGCAAAATTATTTTAGTATGTTTTCGAAAAAATTTTCCAACAAGTAGTGTTGCAATCATCGTCGCCGCCATCATCACTTTCAACTTCGTTTCCACCATTCTGGGCAAACTTCACGTCAATATCACATATCATCAGAAGCGAAACGACTGCAGCAATACTGTAACATGATTGTTATATCATCGCAACCTTTTACCAGCTGCGCTATCTAGTTACTTTCCTCTTAGAATCGTTCGAGAATGCAGCTCCAAACAATGCCTAAAACACATGCTTTACATCCCATGTTGCGTGCAGTGCGACCCAGTATCCTTCCTTGTGAGCTTCAGTCCACCAGAAAAAGACTAGGATGTACCAACAAGATATTTCTGTCGTTTTGACTTACACGTTACTTTCGTGGAATGGAAGACTTCGGTTAGGGCTATACAACCTGCGCTAAGACGGCACATGCCGAAACTACACTCTGTAACCGGACTAGCCAGCAGGGGAAGAATCTTGTCTTATATTAACGTGTATCCCCATTTTACTCAACAGCCCTCACCTCCACAAGATCCAATTTTCCGAAAATTTCCATATTTCAGGGTGGAAATGCTTCCACCCATGATGCGAACGGTCTTCCCGCCCCCTTAACTACCAGAACCTTCCTCCGTTAATTATAAGAACAGTTTCAGAACCAGTTCTCGCTTCAGCTATTGCAGTCAACATCGTAGAAGCAAATAGGCAAGTTTATTGACTGATTCTAAGTACAAGGATAACAATTAGCTGTGTGGATTCGCAATTAGTGTGAAAACAAATGAATGAGACTGAAAAGGCAACATCTAAATACAAGCGAATTCCCATATATAAATGTTAACATAGATTTCACGAACTGTACAAAAAACCGATTAATCAATAGATTTAGCTTCACAATACTAGGTTTCCCTCAAATCAATAATGAAGCTAGCGGCAATATAGAGCACGCGATCTTTCTCACAAAGAAAAAGGGTCATGCTTACTCGAAAGGAGCACCACAAAATATGTTCATTCACCACCTACATGCCAGAAAATCATGCTAATCGTCTGATCGAACTCTGTAATGGTAAAAACCCATGGCACTTCGAGAGATATTCCATCCCGCCGTTATCGTAGCTACCCATGAGATGAACAAAAATGTCATCGGATATAGGAAATACTGAGTGCGATGCAAAATTGGCAGAGCTGAAAAACGTGATAAAAGACCTCGAACTCATGAAGAAAAGCAATAAAGAACAGAGAAAGCCTACCAGTATATCCGAGAAACGTTATATATACGTAATAGACTGCAGCAATGAACCAAATTGTGTTACCAAGTGCAGTAGGTAAGAAGAATGGGGAGTCAACCAAGGCTGAAAATCAGATATTGTAGGCAGCAGGTCAGGAAAACAGCATTGGTGCAACAAATGAAAACAAAGCCCCTTGTTTGACTAGATACTTGGAGAAAACATTCCACTAAAGTGTAAGATTCACCAGAAAGGACAGCAACCCTTCAACATTTCAAACACTATTGCTATCTTTTGTAAGTGACAGCAAACATAGCAGAAAAGATAAAAGGCAAATAATGAGATATTTCGCATCATGCAGTGCCAGCTTAGCTAACAAGTTCCGAGGACATATGTTTAATGATGTTTCTCCAAGACCTAGAAAAAATGCGGGTGGCAGAACGCGATGAGTTTGCACAACGTGCTCGATTGACCTGATTTTAGATTTCCGGATAAATATGCTAACATTAGGACTAACGGTAGATTTTGCGACCACATTTTTTCATTTTACATACATTTGCTCGTGAAAATTCCTTGCGACATTTCCACGAGCAAATGTATGTAACCCCTTCCCACGTTGAGTAGAAATATTCTGTTGATTTTTTCTGAGACTCCGGTTTTTTCGGAGCGCATATTGAGGTAGGGAATGAAGATATGATGACATAAATGCAGAAGCGGAAGTAGATTATTTCCCTTCCGCTGCTTCTCGCTAATTCTCTCCGCTCCAGTTCGTTTATACATAGCTTTGAAGGTCGAACTAATTCACATTGCCATGTTACCAACTTCCCGAAGAAAGGTCCCACGTAGAAGTGACCATTTGGAATGAGCCTTACACTTTTAGACGTGTTTCCGGTTGCTGGCTGAGATGCTCATCCCAAATCGCTTCTTGAACATGTCAGACAAATTCCTGAATGGGACTACGAACCTGTTTCCAGGTATGCGCTTAATAGGGTAACCTAGAAGACACAGATACATGCTTGCTCCAGAGACTTGAATCAGTGAGGTAGCGAAATTTACTCCTCACCCACTACTTTGAATTTCATGTCCCTTATAGTTTACAGGATCTTTCCTTTGGGATCTAGAAAATTACACATTGAGTTGATCGTGTTTGAGCTCATTTGAATGATACTTAAAGGCACTGTTCACGAAAATATGGTTCCGGAGATTTGCACATGGTTTGAATTCGAAGCCCCCTCTGATACCATTTATGCAGGAATGAGGTCGGAAAACGGCTCTATAGGGCACGATAAGGGAAGGAACAGTGGGGGACGGGAGGCCTCCGCCCCTCGCTAGGCTGACTACGAGTTCAAATTGTCCTTCACCACATTCGCACTGAAGCGAAGTTGGTGAAAAATTGATACGTTGATTGGCAAATTGCCAGAGTCTGCCAGTCAGATTGGGGGGACGCACGATTGGTGTGATTCCGTGTGCGCGCGGGAAATTGTGCGGGAAGTTCGCGATAATTCAAACAACTCCTGCGCCTATCATTGGAGCACAAACTTGAAGTAGAGTACTTTAGTAGGGTCGGACAATCCTCCTAACCTACTTTACTTCAAATATGGGCCCCAATGATAAACGCTGCAGTCGTCCAAATCGCACCGAACTTCGTAGCGCAATTTGCCGCGCGAACCCAGAATCGCACGAATCGACACACACCCGTCAGATTGTCAGGCGAATTGGGTGTGTTGTCTGTATTGCAGACATTGCGTCGCCTTCGTGCATTCTCGCCCGGGTGTGTGTCAAGTCGTGCGTCCGAGGGAGCGCGCGGCAAATTGCGCGGCGAAGTTCGTGGCGAATTTGGACGACTCCGGCGCCTATCATTGGGGCCCAAATCTGAAGTAGGGTAAATTAGTAAGGTCAGCTGATCCTACTATTCCACTGTACTTCAAAATTGGGCCCAAATAATAGGCGCTGAAGTCGTCAGAATAGGTATGAATTTCGCCGCGCCATTTGCCGCGCGCACCCTCGGACGCACGACTTGACCGTCCCCTTCTCGCCCGAACACTCCCTAACCGCCGTTATTTCAATGTGAAACTCGCCCAACCCCCTTTCCAGCTCTTTCTTTGACCTTTGTAATTCTCTTTGTCCATCTTTTTTGCGCTTTTTTCGTTTTTATCGCTTTATTCTAGAGTAGTTCTATCAATTCCCGTCAAAAAAGGGTACCCTAACTTTTTTGTGAACGGTGCCTTTACGTTACCGCACAAATGCTTTGCTCGCCCATACGCTCTTTTTCCACCGTCACACCGTCACGCAATGTATGTTTTTAGCTGACGTCAGGGAATTCAGCGACCTTTGCCATGACCTTCTTAACTGCCTTTCTTACTAATAACGGGTCCTTTAGATCTCTTACGACAATAACAGCTTATTTCAGTATGCACTACCGTAGCAAAGCTGTGCATCAATGGTGTGTAATCTGAAAGGCTTCTAGAAAAAAATGTAGATTTTAAAACTCGAACTTCAGAAACATTCAACCACTTTTTTTCCAGGATTCCAAAACGTTTTTGCACAAGCACATGAATTTTCGTTGAAGAAACCTTCTATTCAAAAACATGCATTACTCACTATAGGCGGAGCTTTGTTAATTCACTCACACCGACTACCCGAAAGCTTGTTGGAATGAGCAAAGTCTAGAGTGCCTAGCACACCTTAGCCTTCGCTCATTCCATTTTTCCGACCACCAGGCCTCTAAGGAAGCGAGTTGTGACTATGCCTAGAAAGCACACCCCTTTTTGAGAACGTTTTGCCCACCGCGGACGATTAGTCTTCTGCTGACTTGTTGATCCATTCATGACCTCTGCCAATTTTTCCCGCGTCTGAACTCATCCGAAGCCAGAACAAGGGCTTTTGCCTTTGCTCCTGCGCACTCCGTTGCACGTCTCGCCCTCTGTAGACGGGCTTCATCTGAGCTCATATGTGCTCTTTGATCTCTTCCTAGTTCCCACCGATAACAAACTTGACCCGACCTATATAGGTTTTCTTCAAGTGATACCAAAATTTGATACAGGCAAACAGGCAATCAGAAAGATAAACAAACGGACACACTAAAGTTGTGATTTATATATAGCGAGGATACCTCAGAGGTAGGCCATTCAAGCGCGCCAAACTTATAATACAAAAGAAAAATCACAACGACTCGTACACACTTACCATGACAAGCTGGTGAATAGGGGGCATACAAAATTATGGCTCTGAAGTCACGGTCAACGATCTTTGACCTGCAGCAGGACTAACTATCTTTTGCACGGCACGAAAAATCTTCAAGGCCCATAGATCCGACCTGCCAACGTAGCAATACTTGGGGAGACGGGCAGTGGAATCGGTTTCGGATAATCGATTTGCCGCGCGCGGCATTCGCGGACTACTCGCTTGCTTATTAAAGTTCTGGCGTTGCTCATACAGCTCAATCTATATGTGGTCATTATTTTTGGCATGGTTTTAATGTTATTTCTTTTGGTCCTATGTTTCTTAACCCCTGCTGCATTCTGCTACATTCCTTCGCGCGCGGCGTCTCTCTCACCGCTACGCGACAATTTCGACCGTACTGCACCGTACCCCAATATTTGTCGTAGCGGTGTTAGTCTTCCACACCATGTTAGGCTTCTCGAGTACCTCAGTGGCTGTACTTACATTGGACGCCATAACTTGTTCCTTACACCCCGTTTTCTGATGGCATAACAAACACATATAATGGTGAAATAAGTTTTGAATGAACGACACTGCTCTAACGAGCGACCAGTTTGAAAAAAGACACCAGAACAAGCTGTGAGGCAACGTTTGAGAAAGTTTTCAAGCAAAATCGCTATCAAGAAGAACCGGAATTTTTGAAAAAGCCAACAACGACTTACTTGGGTAAATTATGGGAAGAAGAACATGCAAAAGAATAAGCATGGGGAAGAAGGCGTTGAGATGCACATCGAAGCAATAACCCCATTCCACATCTTGGTCCTGCACTTTTCGAAGAAACTGATTTGAGGACCACCTTGAAGTAAGTCAATTTGTTACAGTAATCAAAAATAAAATAGAGACTAGCATATAAAGAACACATGACACTTCCTGAGACTGTGTATAAAACTTACCATAGAATTGTAGCAACAATCAATCCGACACCGATACAGTCTATGAAGATTACCCATAAGAAAAACTTCACAAATCCCCATGTCGTCAAGCCTAGGGCAACCGCATAGAAGATCGAAGAGAAGATAAGAGACAGCGATAGCAAAACTAAGAACGCGGGATCATCCCGAGCAAACTGGTCCTTTGTACCTGAATATGAAATGAGATGAGATGGAAAAATCTTAGCGATAGGCAAGTCTATTGAAGCACCTAACCTAATCAAAGCTAACGCGATTAAGCAGATCCGTAACAAAATCTTCTATTCAAAACTCACGTTTTCTGTATATGAAATTCCGATAGACTTTCTGAGGCTGAATCAGCAAATATAACATCTGCCAAAGAGCAAATTCGAAATCCATCTGGAACAGAAAGACATGGAACGGTAAGGTCTGTAGATAGAAGAATCAGTGTATTTATATCGCCACCTCTATACTCAATACAGCAGACCTTTCACCCGAAACTGACAAGAAAAAGAAATAATTTCTCATTGGAACCCAGTCTCGCAATATGAATGTACGCAATGAAATTGGCAAAAACTTTACGTCCAGCGCGCAATTTCTTAATTTAGCACTTCCCTGGAATATGATTTTGATGCTATATTTATGATACGCGTGAGCCCACATATCTGATTTGCTGACTGCTCCGTCTAATGTATCAAATTAATCCTTTTCCGTAATCACTCTTCATCTCAATATTTCTCTCACGACGGCCTACTGAAACATGGAGCGAGGGCAGGTCAACTGCAGGCTTCTAATCGGACGTCTTGCCTCACTAACGATCCTTTTTCTGAACATAGTTGTTAGGGAATGATTACGCCGTGGAACCTGAAAAGCATGAAAAAGACGGTTGCCGAATTGAATGGGGTGGCGGAACTTCTCCCCGAAATCCTCTCTCGTATGCCCCATGCGGCAAACATTTTTAGTCGTCTCGGAGTTTAAGACTGCAACTATCGTATTCAGCCCGCCTCCCCGCCAATCGATAGGCTCTATTTTCGCTGTCTGCTTTGTATACAGATTGTATATAGGTAGATTTCGGAAGCTTCATAAGCTGCTGTTGAAAGTGGCAGAGTGCCTTTGTTTCCCGCCTAAATGCAGCAGCGAATACATTCAGTATATAGGAAACTGGATGCAGCATTTACGAATTTGAACACAAAGTTAACGAAATCGGTTAAAAATACGAAACTGATTGCGAAATCTGCGATGTAGAATAGAAAACTACGAGACTGTTTGCAATAAATTAATATTCTAGAGCAGAAGGTTACTTAGAAGTAAGAAGGAAAATATTTTCAAACGAACCTGCTTGAAATGCACGAAACGACGAGCAAAACGTGTCAACTTTGCCCAGGCCGACATCCGAACAGCAGTAAAGCAACCAACGCGATCACTTCTTTGAAAGAAAAATCAATTAGTCACATAAAGAGTGCTCAGCTTACGCCGACCTTCGATGACAAAATTGGAATGCGCAGTCTACGAGGAACATTCCACAACAAATAATCCAATAAAGGCAGAACCTCTGAAGGGAAAATATCTGGAATTAGGCCGACACCATAGCACTGACAAAAAACCCGGAAAAGGCGAGGGCCTATAAACAAGGCAGTGCGATTGGTTTCATTAGACTGTCTCTTAACCGAAGATTTCATTTTTGACTCTAACCTTGCAGCAACTTCTCTGTATATGAGCAAGTGAAGCCATGGATGATGCTTACCAACGGCTGTTATCCACTTCATGAATGATAAAGTCTGACTCATGACCCCTCCCACCTCATGAATTTAATTTATTTGCCGAGATTTTCCGATGTTAGTGCATCATCCGTTTGTGAGTCTATAACTTCTGATGCGTACTGTTCACAGCACAATATCCAGGAATAACTGAATCATGATAGGGTATCAGCTTTTATAAGTTCTTATCCCTACCACTATTCCTACTTTCTTACTTTTGTCTTCATACTACCTATATTTCGCCTAATCGCACACAACATAAGATGATAAAGTTTTCACCGTGAAGAGGAAAGACGCGAAATATCCAGCGATTCTAGCCCACTGCAGCCCACTATCGACCTTTATCACTTGTTATATCCTTTCCTTATTCGTTATCTACGACCTCACTACAGACGACCGGTTGTTGTTCCTTTCTCCCGTCAATCATCTACGATCCTGTTTCACCCCTCAGTACACATGAAACTGTAAAGGCAGTCACAGTCACAGTCATGCGAAAAAGGCAACAAGTAAAGTCGTTCTTATCTTTGAAGCCTACCTATTAGCTTGTTATTCGTTACCTTCCCGGTCACGAACCATGCGATCTCACCACACTCCACAGTGCACAAGAGTTCGCTATTAAAGCTAGATGCGTAACGCTTCTAAAAACAACTCTCGCCACCTGTAGCGCCTTCCGTGGTCATCATTTTCTAGCACATATGCACACACAAAACTACGTCTAAAAAAGGGATACATAGCTGTTTAAGACTAAAAAAAAAAGAAAACGAAACAGATTGGTATAGATCGCAGGAAGGAATTAGAGACAAATACTCAGTATAGTTACGTGTTGTAGGACCATGATAAGAAAGAACAAATAAAAATTCAAAAGATTTTACGACCAAGATCACAAGGGGACCATTTTCACCGAAGGGTTTTGAAATATATGATAAAGAACTATTAAACGAGGATCGAAATGAAAACTCACGATGAATATGTGGAATAGCCTCCGGGTGTGGCTGAACCGCTTCTACTGGTTGCTGACCCGAACCGGAACTGCGTGTTCAAAGTGGGTGATTGTATTCCTGAAGTTCCCGGCTGATACGCAGCGGGAGCTGAAAGCTAAAGCTAGTCTGCTATCAACAAATTATTACCAAACTATACAATCTTGGTGGTGAACGTGAGCTCGCACATTTCCAAGAAAGCAGTTGCGTGGAATACATGCCCCAACACAGCGAGGCCAACGACCTGTCTCCTTGACCAACCCTTTTACGAATTAGTTGGTAATCTGATGCCATCGAAATTAATCATTTTACATAGCGCCTCTCCACGACCAGATATTTTTATGATATGTAAAAAAAAGGAGTAGGAAATACATGTTGGTTCATGAGAAGAACGGTGGATCAACGTTATAGGAGCCGTAGGGCAAGAAATTAAAAAGTAAATTAACGACACTATTAAATAATGTACAACGATCGTAGAACACTAATGAGAAGTCCAATCTAGGCTCTTCCTCCCACTTTTTGCAGAATAGGGCGCAATGTTGCCCGTGATCGCTCCTACTCACTACGGTGTTCGATAATGTCACCAACATTTGGAACACGGCAGTGAGTAGGACTCTCGTAATCGCAAATTATTCTTCCGTGTAGACTGATAACTATCCCTTTCATCACATTATTCACGTTTTCATCCGCTAATGTCAAAGCCGGTACTTTCTTGAAATAGAAAAAAGCGGAAAAGGGAAACGAGCACTTACTCGAGTTCCTGGAGCTGTTATGCATCGAATATTCGGGAAGTACCCGAGTTCCAGTTGACACAAGTGTATTAAAGGTATAAGGCAATCTTCTGCAAGAGCTTTTAGAAAGGTGAAAATAATCCGGAAAGAAGTGCATTTTCTTCACAATAAAATACGTAGCTTAGCAATACATCGTAGCCAACAACGAAGCATACAAGAAACGAATCATATGCAATAAATATATTTATCCCATAATAGTATTAACCATAGGCACTAAAAGATCTATCGTCAATCCATTTCTTCGACGATTCCAGAAAACACAAAATGGAAGCAGCAACAGTCCTGAACGAAGGTAATTAGCGCGTTTGCACAGCTGTCTTCCTAACTCAAACATTTCCAACTGTTAATTACTCTCAAGGAAAGGATGGAGTGTGTGTTGTGTGTGATTGAGTCTGGGTAGGAGTACAGGAGGGATTGGAACATGGTGGTACGGGCAAAACTCCGCGCAAAGAGGGCGGGGCATGTGCGAAATAAATGTTTGACCGCGCCATCATCACGAACCTAGGGCTAGACCTTTCAGATTTGATAGCATAACAGGATAGCAACACTTATGGAATACAAGCGGCAGCAAGCCACTGACCCTGGATTGATGCATAGCTTAGTTGGTCTGGGCGAGTATCGATCCAATATTCGATCCCCTACCCATGCATGTGTGTTAGAACGTCACTTGTCACTACCCTACTCCAGTCTCTGAGACTATATGATCAAAAAATAACGAGAAATAGAATCATACAAAATCTTGAGGTCGTGGTGCTGTTTCATAAAGGAATGATCAAATTTACCAGTGCTTTCAAGAGATGTTCCGATTTAAGCTGCATTATACTTTTAATCTTGGGGTTAATTCCTTTTTCCCTACTGTTACATCGTTGCAATACGTGATTTAAAGGCACTTAGCAAAAACAGTACCACAAACTCCTCGACCTTCTGTTTTTCTCTCATTGAATTCAACACTTTTTGATAGCATTCTTTTCATATTCTTCTGAAGAAATCCCTTCTCCAGCTGATACTGATAAACGTGCTCTGACTGATAAACTCACTGATAAAATTTGCTGCGAACCCATCCCATTTCTGAAGGATTACGAAAATTTATGAGTATTTTAACGTTCCGACTGCGCCGGAATATATGAGGGAGATGAACAGACCGAATAAACAAACAATAGTAAACATCCAGTGGGTTCTGAGATTTTTCTTTGAGCCTCCGATATGTAGCGAGGTCTTTAGACATAACTCTCCACGTAGGCCTATTCCCTTACCATCTGTGAACGATTATGATGACATTTCACTAGTATCGTAAATGGTAACTAATATTTTTAGAGCAATTTACAGTACCCAATCCAACTAACGCGCATGGCACGTACTTCAAAATGTTAGTAACAGCATGCAAAGACTGTTTTCAATGCTCGCAATATAAAACCAGAGAAAATAGTCGATTCAGGATAGTCGAACTCACTCAGTGTTCTTTGGGCATCATCAGTTAGATCGCTGATTAGCAGTGATGTAATGGTAGAGTACTACTAACATGAATATTCCAATACCAAGAATATTAGCACAAATTCCAAGTTGCACGTCGGTGATCATGTCCTGAAATTGCCATTTGGGATTTCGTAACCGAAGATTGTCCTGAACAAAACGAATAAAGAAGGAAGTAGATCAGAAAAATCGTAAAACTGGCAACTGCTGGGAAGGTTCGTTTAGCCACGCCTCTTCGCCAGCGCGGCACGATTTCGCTGCGACGCTGAGAATCATATTGATTTTGGTCCGAAGTTGGAGCTTGTGCTTCTTCTTCGACCATCTGGAGCGCAAGACGACCTTTACGACTGGATGACTGACTTTTCTACCGTCACTAATGAAGACATTCCTCTAGCTGATGATGGTGAGTAAATTGTTAAATACGATTGGGCGTTTCATACGATTCTGATTTTCTTTTTTTACCTAGAAATGTCAGGCATTTCTTTAATGATGTGCTTTGGAAGCACAGAATCGATGTAACATCAAACAGTCATGAAAAGGGGCTGCTACGCCCTGGTCCCTTCATCATTTCCTATTCAACTCGGGTGCTTGGCTAAAACTTTGAATCTATAAATGATTCGAAATTGCGATGGCAGATTTTTTAAAGGAAATGTAGATGGAGGGCGGTGCAAAGAAACATCTATGGTCATGATTTCTCATTCTGGGTGAAAATGTAGTTGGGGGGTGCCAGCGCCCTTCCGTCTCGTTGCTCTGTGTCTCTGACCCAGGCGGGAGAGTACCCAGAGACCACACGGGGCGCGGGTATCGCCCTAAATAATGAAAGGGAATGTATTCTTTAATAAGGGGAGGAGCTCCGGGGTGGGTGAGAAGTAAACGTAGTGGAAGAACAAGAGAAAGTTGCGATAAAGTAGAAAAGAGTGGAATGGGCCAAACCTGAGGAGATTGACTGCAATAAGTCGATTGCGCACCGTGTACGCACTGCATGCGTGGATTAAAGTTGTTATTAAAGAGTTATCCTGAATCATTTCAATTTTCTGCACAACGTTTACTTCTCGCCCACCCCGGAGCTCCTCACCTTGTTAAAGAATAAAT